TGCGAGCTAACTCATTTAGATATGAGTTCAAGCATATGAATATAAACTCATATAATAGATGAGCTGAGCCGTGACGTACTCAAATTCATTATAAACTCAGTCGAGAGATAGCTCAGTCGAGAGATAGCTTAGTTTATCCATATTTGATTTTATAATGTTTTGATTATGAGTGTGGGGCCATTTGGCCATTTGGATTTACGTTCGAATGAATTTTCTTTTCTTTGAATAATATATATTGATGATTAAACGTTTAGTTACACAAAGAAATCGCACTAGAGTCACATATATGGATCATGACATCTCAATCTATAACAGGATGGTAATTCTACCTTCAGTTTCAAAACATATTTTATTTTTAGTTAAATTTATTGGTTGTAAATGGCAACTTACCAAAAAAAATCGAAATTTTTTTACATTCAATTTTTACATTCAACAATCCTGCATATACCATTTGCTATTTAAAAATATTCTGCCAGATTCAGTTAGATTCAGTAATTCAACAAAAAAAAATTTACAAGATTCAAATGATTTCATCAGCTAGATACAACAATCGTTTCAACACCAATTGATATATAATTATGTTTTCTTACGTAAAAATCAGATAAAAAGGGATATTGGAATTAGGTAAAGATATATAAGATATTAAAATTTACATMTGATTTTGTTTTTAAAAGAAGATAATATGAATATGGTATATATAATTCAGATATTAAAATCACTATTGAACGGGAAGTACCATATCGTGTTTGAGTAATTCATGCAACAACAAATAATTTTGGATAATTTATAAAAAAACATTTATTTGAAAATGATAATTATTGTGATTTTAAGAATTTATAAATAATTTAGGTAAATTTGTTACTTTAAGAATTTTGATTGTGTTTATGTATTTCGTTTTACGCTATGCATATTATATATTACACCATTAGTATAACTATTTTCATAGATGATCTATTCTAATTTTTTGTTAACAAATGTTAGATAACCTATTCTAAATTTGTAGAACATAATGCAAAATTCAGATGACCTATTCTAAATTGGTTTTCTAAACGTAAATGAATTTTTTACTTTGTAAAATATGTGTAATACGTAGATTATATAATTTGTACGATTAGAACATGTATACAATACAAAAGGTATATTCTAAATAAAGCAAATTTTTTTTTATCAAATCAAAATTTAATCTATGGATTACCAAACAACAATCTGACAAAAACTCTTATTCTTTAGTTTCTCACGTGTTTGACAATTTTTTTTTAAATTGATTATATATATTATAAATGATAATTTGGATCTAAATGAAAAATTGAAATAAAGGTATATATGGACAAAAGAAAAAAAATTATTTATCTTCTATCAATTAAAAAAAAAAATTAGAGACCATTTTTTATGATGTGTCATTTTTTAAAAAATTATTTTATATTCACTATCAAGCACATTTATTTTCAAATAACTTATTTTGATTATTCAAATCTCAAAATTATACTTTACACGTCGGCAAGTTTCACCCCTAGCCTTTAAGAGGCGATCCTTTCTCCTAAATAAAACTCTAGCGCCGCAACCTAAAATTTTCAGATCTCCCATTCTGATGGCTCTCACCGCCGCCGGAAAAGGGAACCTTTTGTATCTCTGCTTAGTTATCTTGCTTTTCCCCTTTGTAGATGTTTGGAGTTCTTGTCTTCTCGGGTCCGTTGGATTTGGTGGCTAGACTTGTTTCCTTGATGGTGTTGATGTGTCGCTGCGGAGACGAGATGGTACATATGCTGATGGAAGGGCTGAATACATCAATCAAGAGATTTAGAGACAGCTCGAAGAAGCAGCTCAAAGACAAGGCGAAGAAGCAGCTCAAAGACAAGGCGAAGAAGCACCTCTTGGATCTGAAACACCATATGCTGATGATGTTGGAACTGGTCGTTCGGCTTTGACTCAACTTGATGAGGACGAGCTGTTCTGGCAGGTAAGGCTACTCTTTCTAATTGTGGCTATCAGTAATGTAGTTCAAATAATACTTCATGTTAGTGAAACAATTTTGGCAATTGATAAACTGTTTTAACTCTTTTCAATCCTTCTATCTCTCATTAGTTAGTTGCATATCTTGCTGTTTTTTCAGTATTAATCTCAATTCATGTTCCTGCTTAACTCCTTCATGTCTCTCTTGTCTGATAGCATGTTTCTCGTTATCTTTTTAATTGATTTTTCTCTCCTACTTGACTGAAATTTATGTGAAATTATCATTTAATATATGTGTCATGTTTTTACTTGCCTTGAAACTTGTCTTGCCAAGTCAGTCATGCCGTGTTTTTGGTGTTGGTGAACAACAGCCCATACGTGACCGAGGTGAGAGTTCTACAATGGCAACAACAAGATTCACCCTCGAGTGCCAAGTCCTAGTATTGGAGTAGCAGCTAGCTGCAGTGGTGCAGCAAATGAACCATTATCTTCTACCGTCTGATGCTACTAAACCAAACATTCCCACCACTCTGCGCACTCAAGGAACTATGGTGGGAATAGTCACGTCGAGCCAAGTACTGAAGCAAGTAATGTGGTTGTTAATGAAGCAGGTGAAACTGATGTATCAGGAGAAGTAGATGTAGTAGAAGGAGAGGATGCAGAATAAGGAGAGGATGTAGATGATGAAGGCAATGAAGACTTTGTAGGCTCCTGAAGTGTACCCCTATGTTTTCTAATTATAGATATGCGTGATCTTTTGAAAAACTGTTATTCTTTTTGGTAAATATGGGTTGATGTGGTATTATAATTTTTTTACACATCAACTTATGCTAATTGTAGAAGATTAATCCTATGTATAATGTAAGATATTGTAAAAAGCTAATCATATGTATAATGCAGGCTTTTGTAAGAAAAATGTTATTTTTAATCTAAATTCTGTATAATATTGTCTTTTTAGCTGTTAATACAGAATTAATATGTATGCTACTAAATAGTTTTGTAAAGAGGATCTATATTATTCTTTGTATCTTAGTGTAGGGATTAGTTACACAACAATTGATACTAAGTGTGGTTAAAACTTACAAACGCGGTGTAACAGAATGTGGCTATATATTACAACTCAGTTGTAACTAATACTAGCTACAAAGCTACAGAATTATTTGTCACAAAGTGTAAATATTAGTTACAAAAACTATGTAACTCATTGTCTATTATAGTTATTAACTTTTTGAAACCATTTGTAGTTATTAGATACAGTAACTTCGTTAGAAAATGTAGTTATTCGCCACAACTTTTTTGTATTAATCTGTGGCTATTAGTCACAAAACATTGTAGCAATTTGTGACAATAGTCACGATAAAATTTATCACAAGTCGTACCTATTGACTACAACAATCTTGTAGTTTTGTGTAAAAATTTCCTACAATGTTATTGTGACTGTTTGTAACTAAATTTTGCCACAAATTAAAATTCGTAGCATTATATATTCAAATTCATACAAATACTTTTGTGTGGCCTTTTGTAGCAACTTATTACAATTTGTTACAAACAGAGAATTTGTTGCAAACACATAGGCTCGAAGAATTAATTGTCGAAAATCCGTAACAAAATTTAATTTGCTACAAATTTGTTATCATAGCTAAAAAAAAAAATTGTGGCTATGCTGCCCTATTCTTGTAGTGTCATATGGCCGTTTCTTTGAAGATAGGTTGTGTTTTTTGAGCAAATCTGTTTTGGTTCTCGTCATTTGACCCGTTGGAAGATAGGTCTGTTTTGTTGGAGTCTCAAGGTTGGGTTTGGTCTGTCGTGGCTGTTGGTTTGAGGTTGTTGGATGAGGTGTGTTAGAGATCAACTCTTCCTGGAGTTTTTGATGATTGCGGGTCAGATTTGTTTCTCCGGCAGAGACTTCACCGA